TACAAACTTCCAGTTATAAGAGAATTAAGTTCTGGGGATCTAATGTACAGTGTGATGACTGTAGTTAACAATGATGTATTGTCTACTTGAAAGTTGCTAAAAGAATAGATCTTAAATATTCTCACAACAACAACAACAATGTAATTATATTAGGTGAAGGATGTATTAACTAACCTGATTGTGCTACTCATTTCGCAGTATATATATGTATCAAATCATCACATTGTACCCCTTAGACTTATATGTCAATAAAGCTGGGGAAAAAAACTTTCCCAGAACATAGTTACGAGTTTCCCGATTGAATGGGCCCAACAAGTATTTAGCACTTAATTGTGAAATTTCAGTTCACTAAAGCTGAAAGCTTCCAGAGAGAAAAATACGTCGCTTACTAAGGATTTGTTGTAAGAATAGCACTTGTCTTCCTAATAGCAACATTGAAAACTAGAAAATAATGAAGCATCGCCTTTAAAATTCTGAGAGAAAATAAAATTCAACTTAGAATTCTTTATTCACTTAGCCACATTATCAGTCACTTGAGAAAGTAGCCTAAAGAAAATTTCAGTCACTCAAAGTCTCAAAAAAATCTCTCTCTTCAACCCCTTTTCAGGAAATTACTGAAGAATAAATTATTTCTTTAAAATGATGGAGTAAACCAAAAGATGCTATTATGTGCCCAGGAAAAGGATTCTGACTCAAGTGAGAGGTGCAAAGAATCCTCAGGTTAACATCAGAGGGAAATCCCAGGATGACATTTGTGCCATAGGCCTAGAGAGTAACTGGTCCAGATTAAAGCAGAGAAGGATAGCCAGGAGGGATATCTCCAGGAGAAAAACCACTTCATAGAATATCTGGTAGTTTGTATCATATGAAGAATGTTATTGAAAAGTATTTTATAGAGCTGTTGGAGGGCATAGGAAAAGGCCCTATAATTTAAATAGAACTAAGTATCTCCAATATAAAAGCAGAAAGTAGGAGAAGATAGGAAATGTAATTAAGTGCACTATTTTACTCAGTAGTAAATATTATTTAAAAGTTACAATAGTAGTATAAACAAGTTTTAGCTAAAACTTGTGAGCTATTAGGAAGGTAGATGAAGGGAAATGAATGTAAACAAATGCGGAAGTCCTCAGCTGCCATAATAAGAAGCCAATAGATAAATATAAAATTGGATAAAGAGAGAGCAGTCTAAATATGACATTTAGAAATATTTGATAAATTCTAGAAAAAAAAATGGTAAAGAGTTGAAGGTACTTATCTCTAGGGAACAGGACAGGGTGGACAGAGGACTGATAATTTTATTGGAAGCCTTTTAGAGCTATTTAACTTTTAAAACTATGTGCTAATATTCTTTTAATAAATAAAAATGTTAATTAAAAATGTTGATTTATCAAAAAAGCCTAAAGTTCAAGTCTCTTTTTATTTTATGCTGATTTTTCTGTCTTTTTCTTTTCTTTTCTTTTCTTTTTGAGGAAGATTAGCCCTGAGCTATTATCTGCCAATCCTCCTCTTTTTTTGGTGAGGAAGATTTGCCCTGAGCTAACATGCGTGCCTGTCTTCCTCTACTTTATATGTGGGACGGCTACGACAGCATGGCTTGCCAAGTGGTGCCGTGTCTGCACCTGGGATCCGGGCCGGCAAACCCCAGGCCTCTGAAGTGGAATGTGCACACTTACCCACTGCGCCACTGGGCCAGCCCCTGATTTTTCTGTCTTTTTATCCCATGTGTTTGCTTTTAGTTAGAAAGAATTAGATATGATGAAGGAAAAACTGATTTTTTTTTTTAGGAAGATTAGTCCTGAGTTAACGTCTGCCCCCAATCCTCCTCTTTTTGCTGAGGAAGACTGGCTCTGAGCTAACATCCATGCCCATCTTCCTCTACTTTATACATGGGATGCCTGCCACAACATGGCTTGCTGAGTGTTGCGTAGGTCCACACCTGGGATCCAAACCAGTGAGCCCTGGGCCACCGGAGTGGAACATGTGAACTTAACCGCTGCACCACCAGGCCAGCCCCAAAAAACTGATTTTGAGAATCCATAAATTCATTGAAAACCACTTATTTTTACATTGAATTGCATACAGTAAATGCATAGTCAATGTTTTGGTTAAATCTTAAATTTATCAACAAGGTTCAAAGGAATAACCTATTAAAATCTTTTTGTATTAACATTTAAATCTGTTGCGGGAGATTACAAAGACTCAATATGAAACTCTGATTGTAATAATACTCCTTGCCACACATTTTATAAGAAAACTTTTTATCCTGTTTATATAGGATTATACCTTAAGTTTGCATTTAGAGCAGTTTGTTTTTTATTAAAAAAAAATCAAGCCCCTACACAAATGTTGAGTGATAATGACTGATAAAAATCTCTTTAAATATACAGATGGATTTTCTATTCTATATGACAAGAACCAAAGGAATACGCTAATGCTCCTCAGTGCTTACTTCTGCATAATAACAAGTCTAACACTTTCAGTAATAGAGAATTGGTACTGCCGAAACTAGAAGGCATTTCAAAGGCCAACAACAGAGTATTTGTGTTAATCTTAATTAGCTATGCCTCTTTTGGGAATGTAGACACTTGAAGATTACATAATATGAGAGCTTCTAAATTGTGGGAAGATCTAACAGAACATTCACATTATAACCTCCTGCCTTATTGTTATCCTTCCACATTAACATGTGTTGGGAACTGTGTTAGTCTGTTATCTTTTAGTGCTAAGTAATATTTTTAGTAGATCAATGTTTATACTTCCATTTCCTGATTTAAGTCAATTGATTAGATTGTTTACTAACAATCAGGCATCGTTTCATTGGTGATCCTGACTAGATATGGCTTGTTTTTCCTTGTAAGGCCCACAGTACCTAACACAATTCCCAACATATATAACAGGCAATTAATTGTGTTATTCAGTTGAATAGAATGTCTAAGCTGCACAGGTGTTTTTCCATATTGGTAGACTTTTGTAGACTAAAGGGACCAGAGGCTTCAAAGGGCTGAAAACAACTTCTTTTCAGGGGAACATTTGGCAAAGGTAGTAATGTAGTACATGCATTTTTTAATTAATTTATATTTTTGATGTACATTGCTAGAGACTTAGGATATAAAGATGATTAAGACAAGTACTTTGCTCCCTGGGAGGGAAAAGTCTAGAGTTGGGTAGCAAACATGAGAACATAATACATTGTAGCTCAAATACAGCTGATGATGGCTCTGAAGAAGGAAGTATCAACCGGCCAGCTAAAGGCAGCCTGACAACAGGGTAGTGGTTTTTCCTTACAGTGCCGTTGAAAGACAGTTCAAAATGCCAGTTTTCATGCCTTTCTCTGGTTTGCTTTCAGACTAGGTTGAAAAGTTCTCCCAAAATTTGATGTCTCTGAAATCTAGAATGGCATTTATTATTGTCAACAGGGATGTTTTATACTGAAATTAACTGTATACTCTTGTATATAGTTATAGTTGAATATATATGTTTTTGATTGGTAGTCATTTTTAAGAGTTAGTCAGTAAATCCACTTGAGAAGAATGACTTAGTGCAACCCCTGAATGTAAAATAAAACAATGGAAAGCATTTTAGGCCAGTAACCTTCCCAGTGGAATATGATCAGTAAACTGTAGAAAGCTTGACTTTTTTTTTAAAGACTGATTTTTTAAGAGCTTTTTTGTAGCCTATTTTATATATGAAGTTTGTTTTGTACATATACATTCTATGTGATGATGTCCTCAGCTAGTGGAGGCCTGTTTTTAATTATATTTAATATGTATCATGGGACTATATAGTCTTATGAATGAGCATTAATAGTCAATAATAATTAGCTAATATGCACATGAATATTTAATAATTATCAGATATAGCTATTAAGACATTTAAATTAATATTCAATTGTACTTCCATTTTATTTAGGGTTATGTGTGTGTATTTGGGGAAAAAATGAAACAATTCGACTCAACAGCCATTCTTCTTACACACGTGATATGCAACAGTTCACCAAATGAGGCTGTCTCACATCTCCAGGACCCAGAAGGGAGCAGGATAGCTCATTATTGAGTTTACCAAAATCAGAGACTGAATGTTTGTGAACCCACCATTCTTCCTGGTTAGGGTTTACTTCTAAATGTGGCTGAGTTTTCTATAATAACTAATTATGAAGAAGAATACCAATAGTAAGAGGAAATAATTATAGATAACAGTTATCAACCATTTACATTATGATAGGTACTATACTGGGTTAGTCTGCACAAAACCCTATGAGGTTGAGTTCAGCATAAAATGTTATCCTCACTTTACAGATGAGGAAGCACAAGTGTGAGTCAAGATTTAAAGCTATGTGTCCTGGCTTCTGCGCTTAGGTCCCTAACTTCTATGTCCTGGTACTTCTTATTACACAATTTGAGCCTCATAATAACTCTATGAGGAAGACAATAAAAGCTTTTATCTCAGTTTTAAAGTTGAGGGAAATGTCTCTTGGAGAGAGTAAGCAATTTGTCTAAAGCTTCACAACCCATTTGCGTAAAGCTGGGATTGGAACTTGCTTCTTCTAACTTCAGCCAACAGCACAGGAACAGTATGAAGAGATGTTTGGGAGGAAGCCCCTTTTGGCTAAAGGCAACACCTCCTCCTCTTTCAGAGAGCCTGAAGAAGCTGGATCATGCAGCTCAGGATGTGGTACACTGTGTGGAGAGGACAGTACCAAAGCAGAAATCCAGTAGCAAGCACCCACCTGTGACTTGGCTGGTACTCTGAGCTGGAGGGGCTTGGGTTTGAACCCAGACTTTGCTGCTTTCTTGCTGTGTGACCTTTTGCAAATCACTTCCTTACACTAGGCCTTCGTTGTCTCCATCAAATATGAATAACATTTGTCTAACAAAGTTATCAGAGTTAAATGAAATGATATGTATAAAAGATGTAGCAGAATCTCTAACATATAGAAGGTACTTAATACAAACTAGTTTCCTTCCTAGTTGAGTGAATTTTTTTTTTCTTTCTTTCCATAGCATTTATCTAGCCGGCAGAGTGTACAGCAAAGCACATCCCAGGTAAGCAGTTTAATCAGGCCTCCCAGTCTTTTCCCTCAACTCTTTCAAGAGATCACAACATAGGGATGTACCAGGAAATGACAGACACCCCTGACTTCTTGAATGTGTGGTGCCTTTCACCTAAGGAGGCCTGACCTCCAAGCAGATTTGGCCAGTCTCCACTCCTCTGTGCAAATTTACATAAGCACAATTGAAAGCAGCAGACTGAGAGACTGAAATGAATTAGTCTGGGAGAAAATAAAAATGTCTTTTAGAATGGTAACTGTTACCATCTGACAGTGTAAATCAGGTATATCGGGGTCCAAGAAATGTCTTTGAAAATGGTTCCCTGAAGAATTTAGATGTTTGTGACCTGATGGAGATTTTGAGTTCACTGTAAGTTGGAATTACTGTTCCCATGTCTCTTTCACTCTGTTTACTTCTCCCAGCTGCCTATTTGTCCACCTCAAACCAAGCATATTGATGCAGCACCCTCTACTAGCAGAGAAAACACCTTCAGTCTCTCTTTTAAATGATCCCCTTCAGCAATATGAGGAGAGTTAGTCATTTAGTTTTCATTTTATTTATGATTAGTGTAATGAACAACAGAAATCACTGTCTTTTGCATTCCTTATTAGGTAGATACAATGCGCCCACGTCATGGGGAAACCTGTCGGATGCCAGTGCCACATCACTTCTTTCTCAGTCTGAAGAGTTTCACCTACAATACCATTGGGGAAGATACTGATGTCTTCTTTTCCTTATATGATATGAGAGAAGGCAAGCAGATCAGGTAAAATTTACTAGATGTTCTGGTGAGGTTGAGACTGTGTTAGTATGGTATGGCCTGGGTCATAGGCATCTCTGGCCTTCAGAGAAGATAGGTACACAGAGGAGGCAAAACAAGATAAAGTGGCCTCCTCTTACTTAGCTGGGAGTTTTGCCTCAAATCCCAGTGTACCCTGAAGGCACATGTGGCCTCTTTTTTGTTCTATGCCTATTTCCACATCGAAGCTCAAATCCCAGTCTTGGCTATCATCACCTCAGGGAGAGAAAAGGATGCATGTGTTCAGAGAAGATAAACTGCCAGAGAAAACACATAGTAGAAACATAAAACAAAGCAACACCAGCAAAGAGGGCAAGTTCTAGAATGCAGGAAGCCCTGGACTCTCCCTTCTGCAACTGGGAGAGAGGAGTCACAGGGAAATAAGCTAATGGTGTCCTGTCTGAGGGTAGCCCCAGCCTTCAATGCCTTTCCAGCCCTGTGAAGGGGAGAGCATCTTCTAAGAAGAAGAGAAGGTTGGCCTGACTCCGTTGTTCATCTTTGCCTTAGATTGGAGGAGGGGATGCAGAAAGGAGCTGACACATAGCTTGGCAGAGCACTGAGGCCTTAAAGCATGAGCAAGTGCAGCAGTGCTTTTGTCCTTGAAAGGTAGGGAGGAATCAAGGAGACACTCTAGGCTTCTCTTCTTCTGGAGGCCAGCAAGGCTATGATGGGATGAGATGACCTTTGTAGCTAAGTTGGAATTTTAGGAAGTCCAAACATTTCTCTGTAGTCATCGTCTAGGTGGGACAGAGAGAAAATAAATCTTGGGATAATTTTATATTGTTTGGTGGCTTCCTGTGTTAAGAGTGCTTTATGGGTTTTTTGTTTTGTTTTTTTACTTAAAATTTGAAAACAACTGTGAAACAGTTGTTCACTTTTCCAGTTCTGTGTTACATGTGGGAAAATTAAAAATGGAAGTTATAACAGAGTATAAAAGGAAAGCAGTTAATTTGCATGCTCCACAGTGCCTCTGGTCTTGACCACTACCCACCCCAAAGTTAAAGGACTGTGTTTCACTTTGGCATAGGAATAAAATGATATACTCATTAATGAGGGCATGTGGGTTTTTCCTTGTCACCAATGGCTCCCAATATGTGCTTCTAGGAAAACTGTGGTAGAGAAGGTAGTAGTGGCGGTGATGGCAGCAACAGCTGCTACACACAGGCAAGACTACAGGCCAGGGCTGCATGGGTATGGATTTTGCCTGCTCTTGTTTTTTCTATTAGACTGAAGGTTTGTAAACTTTATTGTTTATTTTTGTGTCTGGAAGAATTCTTTCTTCAAGCTAAATTTTGTGAGCAAGTTCAGTGTATGAAACAAATTAAATAGAACTACTCCACTATTGAAGGGAAAGGGGAAATAATAGGAATCTCACTATTCTCCTGCCCACCCAATATTCTGTGGAACCATTGAAAGTCCATGGGTTGCAGTTTGAAAACCAGAGCACACCACTTTGTCATCCTTGAGTGCCAGGGACTGTGCCTTCTCTCTCTGTGATCCTAGTACCTCACACAGTGCCTGTGTCCAGTACATGCTTTATTGGGCTTATTGCACAGACAAGCTCCCAGCCCAGCAGAGGCACCCTGCTGCTCTGGTTTGTAATCCATGCATTGCACCAGTTGATTTATCTTTGGACTTATTGTTTATAACTTAGCCTTAATAAATAAAAAAACATTTTAAAAGAGGAACTATAAAATAAAATTTTTTTTGTGGAGTTGCTGGAAATGTGTATGTAGGTCATTTAAAAATCCCTCGACATTACAGAACTATATCACCTTCCCACTCACGTAATATAAATATAAGATCCTTAGTTGAAAATATCATCCACTTTCTTTAGTTTTAAGAGTGAAGTAATAAGCAGAATTTTAGATCTGGGTTTAATCAATAAATGTTCTTTCTTCTTTCCATTAGGATTTATGTAGTTCTATAAGCTCTCAAAAATTTTAGCTGATATTGAGCTAAAATTACCAGATAATTACGCTTTCATTATGATTAGGTATTAAATTGGTCATGTATTATTTTCTTGAAGCAGTTGTCAGAAGTCATGAAAGGTTAGGGATGTATTTCATCAGGTACACAGAGTATTGATACAGAGCAATTGGTTTAATTGTTTGTTCCCCTCAAGAGAAGTCCTTGAGTGACTCTCTTTCCAATCAAATATTGCTAGTCTAGTCTCCAATCAAATGGTGCTAGTCTACTGTTAAGCATTACCAGAACACTCTCACCTCTGTGCCAAACAGTACATGTGAGCAGAGGGAGCAGGCTAAAGAGAAGACCAGATATTCCTCCACTTTAAGTCTCACTGCTGATTCCACAGGCAAATCTAGAGGAGTTAAAGTGAATGACAAATTGCAAACCCACATACTGCATTCTTATACATATGTTGACTGATGTGTGAATATTAGATGATCTGCAGGAGGGAAGAAGCAGCAGCTGGCAAGGCCTTGGTAGCTCTATGTTTTGTGACATTTCATCATTCTGAACAGAATCATAAATATTTAGCCTTGAGATCTAAATCTCCAATGAAGACCTCTCCCGTGAGCTTCAGGTCTTCATGTCCTTTTTCCTACCAAACATCTGCCCTTGGATGTCCCCCAGACAGTTCTACCTCAACATGTCTAAACTAAATGCATTTTCTTTCTTGACACATATACTTCCTCCTGTGCTCCTTAAATCAAGTGAAGGACATTATCATTTGCTCAGAGATCCATGTCAGAAACTTAGGAGTCTTCTTAGTCTTCTCCCTCTCTATCTCAATTAATCACTGTATTCTGTCTATTTTCTAAATATTAATCAAATCACTGCTCCCACTCCATCCCCACTGTCACCCCAGATCCTTCACATTTCTCCCCAAATGTAGACTCCCTGAATCTACTGTCTTCCTACCCTGAGTTATTCTCCACACCATCGCTATTACTTCTCTTTTAAAAATGCAAACTGTTCACGTCAGCTCCCACTTAACTTAAAGCCCTTGTTACTTAGTGTGGCATAAAAGGACCAGCATGATATAATTCTGCCTATTTCTCTAATCTTTTTTCATGAATCCTCTTTTACTCCTGATGACTTATTCAGCTTCCCTAAACATGCCTTACTCTTTCATGATGCCCTACTCTTGTTGGCTTAGTAAACTCCTGTCCATTCTTTAAAACTCAACTTTATGAAACTTTCCTCAGTCTATATGTAGGATCAGGCTCTGGGGTTTCATTGCACCCATGATGACACCCTGTACCTAGCTTTATCCCATTACTAGCTATTATTTGTAATTGTACACATGCATATAGACTTCCTCCACTGGAATGTGAGCTTCTTTGTGTGTTTTTTGTTCCATTTTCTCCCTAGTGCTAAGCACAGGACTTTGGATATTGGAGCATTAAATAAATATTTATTGAGCTTATGAATGAATCAGTGCATCTATCAAATAAGTACCAATCAATCACCTATGAATCAAGAAATTTTCATGTAATTAAACAGTTTAACTGTAGCTTTTATTGAGGGTTTCTTGTTTGTAGGCCCTTGCAATAACTGCGAGGGATTTAGAGGTTAAAAACAAATGTCCCTGATCCTGAGGAGGTTTGGACAGGTCATTATAAGATTCCTAAAAGATGTGAAACATGTTGTTCCTGATTTTTGATACCCAAACAAGCTGAGTGGAAAAGTAAGGTGGGAACATGTCTTACTGACATGTGGTAAGACTTTAAGCACAATAAGAAATCAGGGAAAAACAAACAAGAAATACAACCTGTTAAGATAGAAACTTTTATAGAGTTTTTCTAAGCTAAAAAAAGGAAGTCCTCTCCAAATCCTGGTGGTTTTATATATTTTTTCTAATCAGTTACATTTCAGACTTTGTTTTATATTTAGGATTAAATTGTATAGTTTGGGAAAGAGATACAGTTAGTTTTACAACGTAATATACTGAGAGAGATGGCTTTTCCTGTCATGATGAGCTGGATCAATTGTCAGCAGGGTTTTGAATTCATGGGAACTATTTAAAAACAGGAAAAAGTAGTCAGGGAAGAAGAGGATCATTGAGAGACTGAGAAGCCAGAAAGGGCTCTGGAAGAAAATGAAAGTAGTTCAATTAAAGAGTATCCGAGATTCAGGATAGAGTCTTTTAATTCATTTGTTCAGTGAATATTTATTAAGCATCTGCCAGATATTGGGATAGATGCTAGAGAGAGTGAGCAAGAGAGATATCTGCTCGTCTTCCTGGAGCTTACAATCTACTAGAGAGACCAACTCTCTCTAGTAGAGAGATTATTAAATACATGATCACATTAATAAGTGTATAGTTTAAAAATTGTGATAAGTGCTAAAAGGAAAATCATGCAGGGTGCTATGAAATCTCATGTAGATTGGAGTGAGGGGAAGCTCTCATGGCTTCCAAGCCAAGGCTCAAAATATGAGTAAGCAGAAAGAGTGGATAATGTGATCTAGGCAGAAGAAGGCCTAGATGCAGGGAAAAACTTGGTACGTTCAAAGAACTGAGGAGTGGTCAGTGTTGTTGGAATGTAGTAAGTGAGAGAAGGAAAAGATATCACAAGAGGCAGTTGAAGAGATAATCAGGGACCACATTATGCAGAGCCTTATAACCAGGGAATGATTTTGGATTTTATTGTAAATTCAAGAAGAGAGGATATTCAAGAATGAAAAGTAGCAGAGGCAAAAGCATGAGTCAGAAACAGTAAAGACATCAGTGTATGTGTGCAGGAAGTTAGAAGAAGCTATTAGAGCTAGGAAAAATTTTGTTGACAGTAAACTCCAAGTCTTGAACCTGTTTCTTACCTGTCTTTGACTGTTCACGGTCCCTTGAACAAAGAGAGAGCACAGTAAACATCCAATCAGAAAACGAGTGCTAGAGACAAGATTAAATATGTCTAGGATAGCCCTGAAAACCCTGTATACTAATTGAGACTTAATACGTTAGGTAACCCTTATGAGTCCTTGGTCAGGAGAATGACATGTTG